ATAAAATTCATTTGAAAGACGTGCATAAAATAATTAACATTTCACATTATTTTATATCGATAAAACATTATATTTACCTCAAGGTTTTTGACGCCGATGCCCCGCGATGCCTCTCCCAGGCCTCCTCCTCCTCTCAGGATTGGGTAGGCGATACTGTAACAAACAAACATAAAATTCATTTGCAAGATGTGCTTAAAATAATTAACATTTCAAATTATTTTATATAAATAAAAAATTATATTTACCCTAAGGTTTTTGACGTCGATGGTCGATGCCTCTCCCAGGCCTCCTCCTCCTCTCAGGATGAGGGATATACTGTAACAAACAAACATAAAATTCAACAATTGAGACAAGACAACCTTAAGACATCTCATTCGATGGATTAAGATTCCATCTCTAGTGTTCGTTTATATAGGCGCGGAAATTTTACACTCTTATATTTAATTAACAATGACGATCGCGAGCTCCAAAACGTGATCGTTTATATAGGCGCGAAATATTTATCAATTTTATGATTGATTAATTACAACATTGACGATATCCGGAATTTGGTTGTTTAAATGGGCGCGAGAAATTCAACAATCTTATTTATATTTAACAAAGACGATCGCGAGCTCCAAAACGTGATTTATATAGGCGCGAGATATTTAACAATTTTTATATTAATTAATTAGAACATTGGCGATACCTGAAAAGTGTTTGTTTATATGGGCGCTGAAATTTTACTGTCTTATATTTAATTAACAAAGTCGATCGCGAGCTCCGAAACATGATCATTTATATAGGCGCGAGATATTTGATCATTTTATTATTAATTAATTAGAACGTTGGCTATACCCGAAAAGTGGTCGTTTATATGAGCGCGAGATATTTAACAATTTTTATATTAATTAATTAGAACGTTGGCGATACCCGAAAAGTGGTCGTTTATATGAGCGCGAGATATTTGACAATTTTATTATTAATTAATTAGAACGTTGGCTATACCCGAAAAGTGGTCGTTTATATGAGCGCGGAAATTTTACACTCTTATATTTTATTAACAAAGTCGATCGCGAGCTCCGAAACA